TTCAAGGAAAATTACAAAACTGAGGAAAGGCATTAAAGGACATCTAAGTAAATGAAGAAATTATCCATACTCGTTTAAAGAAAAATATATTGTTTAATATGTCAATTCTTCCCAACATGATCTATATACTCAGTGCAGCCAAATCAAATCTCAGTAATTATAAATTAGAAGCTAAGTATAAAAAACTGATTACGAAGTTGATATAGAAAGGTAAAAAATACAGATTAACCAAATTTAGTTAGTAATGTATCAATATTCATTCATTAGTTATAACAAATATAAGGGGGCTTCAAAAAGTTCACAGACTAAGATAGGCAGCGTCCTTTAAACAAATAATAAATAAGGGGGAATCTGTGGCAGACAGTGCAGACCCGGTCAGGAGCTCAAGACCCTGTGGGCCCAAGCGTTGCAGACTGTCCAAACCATAGGCTCTGAGGATCAGACTTTGGTCACCTAGCAGACATAGCAAACTGGCCCTCATCTGATTATTCAGTATGCTTGCTAGTAATCTCATACATGAGCCCTGGATATCCACAGATAAATGTAAAAACCTTCCCTAGAAGCCGAGACTGTAAAGTCCAAAAAGGCAAAGTTTTTCCACGCACCTCCCCCCCCGCCAAATAAGCTAAAGAGGATAGAGAGAAACACTGTTAACTGTGGTATATGGAGGGGATTATAATCAATATAATGAAACAAGTTATATGAATGGTTAAATGTGAAACTGATGTTGCACCCTGTAAACTTTCACTCAATCCACAATAAAAACCTTAAATTAAAAAAAAAAAAAAAAGTTCACAGATAAAAATAGAATTAAAAGATAATAGAATTTTCCTGAGAACTTTATTAAGTCCCCTTGTTTATAATGGAAAACTGTGTGTGTGTTTGGGTTGAGGGCAAGGAGGTAGGAGTGGTAGGTTGTGCCAGAAATTGCTGCATTACTTGCTTAGTTTTTCTGTAATCTAAAATTGTTCTAAATTTAATATCTGTTAATTCAAAAAAGAAGACCTCAAGCCGGCAACATAACCTCATAACATTTTAACCCTACGACATAAAAAAAAAAAAAAAAAGTGAACCAAACTAAGCCAAACAGATAGAAGGAAATAATAATGATTAGAAAAAAAATAAATAAAATAGAGAAAATCAGTGAAATTTTTTAAATGGTTCTTTGATTAGATCAGCACAATTGACAACTTTCAGCTAGACCAAGAATAAAACATGGAAGACTCCGATTTTTAAGCTCAGACATACAAGAGGTGGAGAGCATTACTAGTAACCATACAGAAATAATAACGGAGTACCCTATTGCTGTTGAGTTGCATTCCAGTTCTTTACAGAGTAAAACAGAGTTTTCAAGGCTAAAATCTTTACGGGAACAGATGGTTACATCTTTCTCCAGTAGAGTCACTGGGTGGGTTCAAATCACCAACTTTTCAATTAGCAGCCAAGAATTTACCCATGACACCATCAGGATTTCCCTGTCCTTGGGGATACCACGAACAAGTATATTATTACAAATTAATACTTAGATAAAATGGATACATTCATAGAAAAACAAATTACTAAAATTGACTCAGGAAAAAATGAATAACCTGACTAGACTTACAGCAAGAGATTAAATTAGTCATTTTAATTCTTCCCATAGAGAAAAACCTGGACCCAGTTAACTTCATTGCTGAATTCTATTAAACACGTAAAGAAAAGTTAGTATGAATTCTTTACAAACTCTTCTAAAAAAATAGAAGAGGAGGGAACACCTCCCAACTCATTCTATGAAATCAGTATTACTCTGATACCAAAATCTAAACAAAGACATCATAAGAAAAGAAAATTACAGATCAATATCTCTTATGAATATTGAACGAAAAAAACCCTCAATAAAATACTTGCAAACCACATAACAAATCATAAAAATTTGTTACATAAAACCAATTTTATTTATATACAATAGCAATGAACAGACCAAAAATGAAATAAAGAAAACAATTCTGTTTACAAAAGCATTAAAAAAAATACTCAGGAATAAACTTAAGAAGTTTAAAACTTAAAATCTGAAAACTGTGCAACATTGTTGGAATTAAAGAAGAAATGGAAAAGCCTTCCAAAATCATGGTTCAAAAGACATGCTAAGGTGGCAATACACTTTAGAGGCATTTAGTGTAACACCTATCCAAGTGCCAGGAGTGGCTTCTTAGCAGAAACTGACAAGCTGATCGTAAATGGCACATAGAAATGGAAGGGACCCAGAATTGTCAATCCAGTCCTGAGTGACAATTTCAAACCAATTTTGAAAAAGATAAGAACAAAGTTAGAGAACTTATGCATCACTATTTCAAAACTTCCTAAAAAGCTCCAGTGTGGTGTCACGTGGTCTGAGCATAAGGACAGACCTGAATTAAAGGACCAGAACTGAGAGTACAAAAAGAAACCCTCATGTTTAGAGTCCACTTACAAAAAGAAACCCTCATGTTTAGAGTCCACTTACTTTTGACAGCAATCCCTGGGTGATGCAAACGGTTAGTGCACTTGGCTGCTTTGAAGTTGGAGGTTCAAGTATACCCAGAGATATCTTAGAAGAAAGACCTAGCAATCCACTTCAGAAATATCCGCCATTGAACTCCCCATGGAACACAATTCTACTCTAACACACGAGAGATCACCATGGGTCAGAATGAACTCAACACCCATTGATTTTGTTTTTGACAAAGGTGCAGGACAATTCAACAACGGAATAATGATCCCTTCAACACATGATGTTGGTACAACTGGATATCTACATGCAGAAGAACAAAGTTGAATCTTTACATTGTGAAATATAACTCAAAACTGATCAAAGACCTAAAGGTAAGAGCTAAAACTATTAAGCTCTTAGAAGAAAATATAGAATTGAATCTTCATGATCTGAGACTAGGCAAAGGTCTCTAAGACATAATAACACCAGATGTATAAGGAGCAGCAACAACAAAAATAGACACATTGCCTTAAAAAAAAAACAAAAAAACCACCCTCAAGGAAGTGAAGACTATCACAAGAATGGGAGTCAATTTTTGCAAACTATGTATCTGATAAGAAACTCTCATGTAAAATATCTAAGAATTCTTTAAAAGACAAACACATAATTTTAAAAAGACATATAAATGACCAGTATACATAAGAAAATATGATTGGTTATCAGGGAAATCTAAATGAAAGTCATCATGATTTAGCATTGCAATGGTCATAATGAAAAGGATGGCACAGGCAAGGATGTGGAAAAATTGGGGCCCTTCATCCACTGCTCCATGATAAGCACTGAGCTTCAATAACAAGGTCCGCGGTTCGAGCTCACCAACCGCTCTGTAGCAGAATGATGAGGCTTTCTGCTCCCTCGAAGATGTAAAAGCCTTGGAAACCTGTACAGGGTCACTATGAGTCAGAACCAACTCAACAACACTTAACACCAATAATCAATAATATCCACGGTGGTGGGGACATGCCATGGAATCGATTCTGACTCAGAGACCCTTTATAGGGTTTGCAAGGCTATAAATCTTTATGAGAGCAAAAAGCCTCACGTTTCTCCCATGATACAATTGGTAGTTTCGAACTGCCAACCCTGAGGTTAGCAACCCGACTTGCAACCATTACGCTACCACAGCTCCTTAATATCCACAGTAGGTGGTCATATTAAATAGTGTACCTGCTTTGGAAAAGAGTGACAATTTCTTAAAAAGTTTAAATATGGATTTACAACATAACGTAACAACTCAATACCTAAGTATTGATCCAAAAGAAATGAAAACGTGTCCAAATGTATATACATGAATGTTCACAAGTGGCATGATTCACAATATTCAGAAAGTAGAAACAATCCAAATGTCTACCAACTAATTAATTTATAAACCACATATGGTATATCCATAAAAGGGAATACTATTCTGCAATTAAAAATGTATTGATATATGAATACAATACATAACACAAACTTCAACAACATGATTGAAGTTTGAAATGGTTAAGCCAAAGAAGTCAGTAAACAATCATACACTGTATGATTCCAAATATGTTCAAAATAGGCAAATCTATAGAGTAGAAAGTAGATTAGTGGTTGTCTTCTTGTTGTTAAGGAATGTCAAGTCAGTTCTGACTCATAATGACCCTGTATAGAGTTTCCAAGGAGCAGTACGTGGGTTTGAACTGCCGACCTAATGGTTCACGGTCCAGTGCTGATCCTACAGCACCACACCAGGAGTCCAGTGGTTGCCTTGGGATAGAGAATTTCAATTAAAGGGCCTAGGATTTCTTTGGGGATTAATTAAAATGTTTAAAAATTAATTGTGATGATGGTTGTACAGCCCTGAACATACTAAATTATATACTTTCAGAGGGTGAACTGTATCTTAATAAATCTATATTTTTAAATTGGGAGAACAAGGGCATTTTTTCCTGTTACCATCTAACACTAAAAATCTAAAATACTCAAATAATTCTGCCATTTAAAAAAAAACATTCCAAAGTGTAATGTATTCAAAACAAGGTTCTTATAGTGTGGAAGGCATTTCCAGGAAGAAGTCCCACCTATGCCAAGCAGGGCAACACTGCTGCAGTGGAGGGCAGCTTGTGATCTATCTATTCCACAGCAGACACGATGCCGAATGTGTCAACAAAACCAACAGACACAATTACAGTTTACCTTTGCCATCACCTCAAACCCACTGGCAGAGACAACCCACAATGATTATGACAGTTACCATCTCCTAAAAAGACAATATTTTCAAAGTACAAAATAGTTTTTCTTTTAAATACAGCATCTCTTCCTCCACATTTATGTCCAGTGTTATTAGAGTTCTCATGATGACCAATGTTGAAATTCTTCAAGCTTTCTTTGAGTAAATTTGTTTAAAACACCTTAAAACTCCACTCATAGACATCCTCTTTTATCTTGATTTTTTTGAAGCTATTGTTTCATTTTGCCTTAAATACCAAAAAAATAAAATAGTAATTTTGAGAAGTCTGAAATCAAATTAACTTTCTTGATTATCTGTGGACTTGAAAAGTTGCCTGGGGCTTAAATTATTCAGTTTCATATTCTGAAATCTGGAAGACACTTGCGGAGATGATTCTTCCACCTGTTAGAGAAACGAAATACAAAGTTAATGTTTTGAAAATGTGGTCAGTCTACCCTCGACTTCATTTTTCCTGACTGCTTCTGAAGAAGACATGATTTTTCCACACCCTTGAGAGACTCTAGCAGACCTGAAGAAGTGGCTGTCAGCTCCACACAGGTTTAGGGCTGATTTGGTTCACCATGGAGAACCATGTAGAACCATCTGGGTCTAGCATGTCAAACAACTAAGTTTTCTGAGTGAGCTCATGTGTTTAACTTCCATAGATTTGCCAGGGTCCACCTCATAATCACTACAAAATGAGACTTCAAGTACATTGTTTGAAACTTAAAAATTCCAAGACGACAGCAGAGAATTCAACCAAGCATGGGGCCCTTCCAGGCACAGGATCCTGTTGGATTACACAGGTCACATGCCCACGGTGTGGTAAGACAAAAGATTGCAACCCCACAATTGTATTCTTGGTACTATTGGTGATTTCCAAGCACATGCTAGTGGGAATTTGGTCACCATGAAGTTCCACCATCATAGAGGAATGAGACAAATAGGACAATTCAATTCATTTTTCACAAAACGTATTCTTGCTGCGTACCATCTGATCAATTCCAACTAATAGCCACCATAAAGGACAGAGTGGAGTCCTGGTGTGGCACTATGATTTAAGGTGCTGGACCACAAAGTTGGTTTAAACCACAAAGTCAGCTGTTCAAGCTCACTAGTCGCTCCTCGGAAACAGCATACAGGGTCGCTATGGGTCAGAACCAACTTGATGTCACATAACAACAGCAACAACTGGACAGAGGAAATCTATCAATCACACTGGGTTTCCTAGGCTGCAAGCTTTTCAAAGGAGCTCTGGTTATAACAGTTAAGAGTTTAGCTGCTAAGTTAAAGGTTGAAAGCTCAAAACTATCAGCTGCTCCAAGGTAAAGATTGTTGTTAAGTACTGTGGAGTCAGTTCCGACTCATAATGATCCTGTATAGGGTTTCCAAGGCTGTTAATCTTTACAGGAGCAGAAAGCCTCATCTTTCTCCCGTGGAATGCCTGGTAGTTTCAAACTTCCAACCTTGAGGTTAGCAGACCAATTCGTAACCACTACGCTACCAGAGCTCCTTAGGTAAAGACTGTTGTTGTTGTTAAGTGCTGTCGAGTCGGTTCTGACCCATAGCGACCCTGAACAGGGTTTCCGAGGCTGTTAATCCTTACAGGAGCAGAAAGCTTCATCTTTCTCCTACGAATCAGCTGGTAGTTTCAAACTGCTGACCTTGCGGTTCGCAGCCCAATTCGTAACCACTACGCTATTACAACCTAGGATATCTTATGTGGCAGTTCTACTCTATCGAAATTAACTGATGGCAACAGGTTTGTTTTTTGGGTTTGTCACGGATGGAAATTTGTTCCCTGAAAAACATATGTCAGCTTTGCTGAGCTATGAGTTTCAGTGGTTTGGTGGTTCTGTGATGATCCCCTATGAGGTCATCTGATGTGGTCAACCATTAAGAGGCATAAGGGTAAGACATGAAGTCCTGGTATGGCACTATTAGATAAGCACTGGACTGCTAACAGCAAGATGGGCAGTTTAAACCACCAGTTGCACCTCAAAAACTCTATTCAGGGTCATTCTGAGTCAGAACCAACCGGATGGCACTTCACAATAGCACCACCATACTTAATCCCATCAGTACCCTGATCAGGGTCTTCTGCCAGGAGTATAGCCTGCAGCACCTTTTATCTTAAGAGATAAAATGACAGAGAGACATGGGGGAAGGATCGGAGCGGCCACAGATGCCTGGCAGAACCACTGAGATAAAGGTATGGACATTCTTTTCTTTTGTTATCTGTTCCTTGGTCCCTTACTGTCTGCGCACCTCCATTCTGGTGATTATAGGGGTGCTTGAGCTAGTGGGCACCCCAGCCCCACCCTCGGAGGGTTCTACTACGCATACGCACAGATCTCCTCGAAATTTAAACAGTTTCCAATTAGAACCAAACGGCCACAGCTGGCCCTGAACTGTTTACAACTAGAAAAAAGGCCTGAACGGGGATTGTGGAGCAAGACAAGCAGACAGAAGAGGAAATAAGTCGAAAATTAAATCCTAAATTACGTCAAAATGACCAATAGTGGTATCTTATCTTGAACCTTCTCAGGAAGAAGAGTGAAAAGGGAAGCCCATTTCCTGATCACATCTACCTGGAGGCATTCAGAAAGCATAAAAAATACCAAAATACATACCCATCTAAGTATTAAGTCCACAGATAACCCCTGAAGATGCC